AATAAAGTGCAAAGCAATGTTGAAATAATATTAAAGGAATGTTAGGTGTTTTCTCACCATCTAAATCTTTGAATTCTCATTAATGTAAAGGACTTATTAAGAGGTGCTTTTAGAAATGTTAAATATGATCTGCAGAGGAACACTGGATGAGAGTGATGGCATGACAAGGCACAGCATTTCTTTTCTTTTTTTTTTTTTTAAAGATTTATTTATTTATTCATACAGAACTGGGGTACAGGCCAGAGATGCGGAGGGTAAGAGGATTCACCAGAGACAGAGCGGGGAGCAGAACAGGCAGATGGACGAAGTACACTGCTGAGGGGAGCAGTGGGCGGGTCAGGAGAGGTCTGCCTGGACATGTGGTCTCCTCCGGGGCAGGCGGGGATCGAACTCATGCGGAAGTGGCTTAAGCTTCTTTTTGCAGTGCATTAACTTGCTGCACCACCAGGGAGGGCCCAGCATTTCTTAAAGTGTTGTTCAGGAGAGCAGACAGAATTTGGTGGGCACAGTGTCCTGGCTCCAACAGCAGGAAGCAGGCTCTCAGACTTCTCTGATACTCACTACTGCATGGATCCATGAGCCCAGGAGGGGGAGAAAGCACATAGCATTTCCCAAACTTCTGAGGTTTATTTACTCAGATCTTCGTGACCTGAGTACTTTCTGGATCATGCATAAGAAATGCTGGTGTGATCAAAGAGAACAAAAGGTGGGAGCTACGTGGACTTGAGATGGATCTGCTAGGGCATTAACTGTCGTTGCCACTAGGCAAGTCCTTGGGCTGTCTGGCACAGTCACTCATCTGTAAAATGTGATTTAGGTTAGATGAATGAACTTTCAGCTCTAAAGTGGGGAAGCTGTGAAAAATGAGGGAATTTACTGACAGTTTGAACAAAAGAAAGCAAACTTCCCAAATGTATAAACAGAATTTTCAGACTGTTAAGCTTTATCCTCCCTGCAAGCAGCAAGGGATGCCAATTTCGTATTCTGCCAACCAGTGTAGAAGATAAAAGATAGCAGAATTCCTACAGCACACGTTTTTGCTGTACACACATGAAATGTCCTCAATGCCTGTTAAAAGTACACTCGATCCCCTTTTCAAACTTTTGCACATGGAATGTAGTGATAGTTTTCACTTATCGGCCACCTCACTGTGCAAGGCCTTGGAGAAACAGACTGATAGAGGCAAAGCTGGTTCCTTTGCTCTGCTAGAAGTGTGACATTCATGTCAACAAAGTCAGTCAATGGAATGTCCTGATTCCAGAAAACACTGCTTGTTGCTTAGCTTTTATCATAAGCCGTTGTGACTGGAACATTTTTCTGGCAGTAAGAATTCAGGGGCCCTGCTAGGAAGCAACAGAATTTTCTGTTGGGTAACCCTTGAGCCTCTTTCTCTACCCTGAGAGGTTTCACCTAGGTTCAAAGGCCTTGGACGCTAGTCAGGTACTTCCCTGCCCGTAAAAGTAATCACCTAAGCCAATTCTTGATTTCATCTCATTGCAAGTCTAACTACAAAGGAGTTGGGCCAGCTTGCTTCCTTGCCATCCCAAAGCAAGTAGACAGGTCCTTTCCTTAATAGGGCAAAAGCGAATCATGCGGAATCCTACTGTGGTGTAGGAACAGAACAAAACAGGGTGGAGGTTGTAGAGGGTCAAAGGTCTGCACCATGCCCATGCTCCCTGTGTATGCTGAAATGGAACAGGGCCCCCACCTCAGTAGGCTTGACTCTTAGCCATTCCCAGTGGTTCTTTCCCTGGAAGTTCTTAGATTCTAACCAGGTGATAAGACAACACGAGGGACTATAGACATAGATAAAACAATAGCATTATCAAATGGCAGGCCACGCTTTTAAGTTCCACAGCTGAAATGAGCTGCAAAATGTGGAGAGTAGTTGGCTCACATGTTAGCATTATCTGCTGTTTCTCTTCCTTTGGCTTTCTTGTTTGCTTTCCTCCATCTTTCCCCTCCAGTATAGGGATGGTAAACAAGTCCAGGTGCTTCTCTGCCTCCGCAAGAGCCATGACAGACATTATTCAGTCAAGGCATCTTCCCCCCTCTAATTTAAACCAGGGAAGTAACCACAGATGAGTAACAACTGATCAAGTTGGGCATTTTTCATTTGCCTTCTGGGTAAATACCCTGACTAAATGGGAGCACTTGTCCACAAAATGACATATACAAAGATGTTTCTGGAAACTATTCTGTATAACCATGGAGTAAACAAACTCCTGATGTTATAGTCTTAATGTCTTCTATAGATACTGTGTGGAGAGTGAAAGAAGTTAGAACCAAGGCAGACACCCTGTGTCAGTCCATTATTGCAGTTCAGAAACAGGCAGACTCACCTATGTGACAACAGGGAAGGCTTGATTACCCATGGGAGAAATGACAGAGAGGGACACCACAAAGCCTCTTGGCACTAGAAAAAGTATCTGTGTCTTGAGCTTGGTGGTAGTTTTCAAAAGATTTTTCTTTTAGTTTTTTTTTTTTTTTTTGGTTACATTTTTGCTCTTCGATGTGAACACACGTTGCAGCCACCCTCCACCAAACCTCCTGTGCCAGTTCCCCCTCTGCCTCTGTAGGGAAAATGAAGATCACCCAGGCTTTTGTGCCCTTGGCCTCTGTGGCTGTCACCTTGACTACAAGGAGGCACTTGGGAACGTGGGTTTCCATGGACTCAGAGCCCACATGCCCAATGGTGGACACCTGGAACATGATGTGGGCATTTGAAGGTGGGCACACCTGAGCCAGGAGGCTGAGCACATAAGGGCAGTGCTGCAGGGGGCTGTGTGGTAGAGGGCAGTGGAGAGTGGTGGACAGCAGTGGAGAGACCACCAGAGACCAGTGAGAGTAAAGACTGACCAGTGGCTGGGAGGCCTGCCAACCTCCTGGCCCCCGGACCCCTGTCTGCCTTGCAGCTGGTTGCCACTCTACAGTTGGTGTAGAATATCACTAAAAGCCTGAAAAAGCCCCTGAGGGTTCCAGAACTCCTTCACCCTCTGCCCACATCCAGAGAGAACCTGCCCTGTGCCTTCCTGGCACAACAGCCTCCTCCCCCATCACCCTCTTCCGCCCTTTCCACTGTTAGTGATTTATATAAATATGCAAAACTGCATTGAGCAGCACACCTAAGATTTGCACACCTCGCTATATTCCACACTCATTAAAACTCTTTAAACAGCGGTGCCTTTTTGAAAACTCTTGCCTCGCCCTCACTTCTGTTTCACTACCTAAGAAGCTTAAAGTATTGAGTCCTATTTTGATGCAAACCCGGTTCTGTCATTGATTAGCTGTGTATCTTGGGTAAATTACTTAACCTCTTTGTACTTTATTTTCTCACTTCTATAGAGGGAATGAAAACGGTTCTTGCTTTCCAGCACTGTTCTGACGGTTATGTCAGATAATTCATACATCACCTGCTTGGTACATCTCGTGTACTCAGAAATGCGAGGTGGGGCCTTGTCCTCCCATTCTCTGATGATCTAGGTCTTCCTTGTTGTTGTGCAGCCATCCGAGGTTCATGGTTGATTCAGACAAATGGAAAGAGAAGTTTGGGGCCTTGCGTATCTCCAACATGCCTTTAGTGCTGAACCAGGGACTGGACTCAGAGACAGACCAGAAGGCAAGGGCGGGCAGGCAACGAGCCCCTCAGTGCTAGCCAGGCTTGGAGCAGGTTGGCTATGATCCAGGCAGAGGGCAAAGGAGGGTCCCGAGACCTCGGTGGCTTTTAATAATCTTTCTACACAGGCTGGGGGCCAGGAAGCTGGCAGCCCTCCCGGCCTCCAACAAATCTTCACTCTTTCTGGACTCTCCAGCTTCCCTTGTGATCTCTCCGCTGGCCTCTATGCCCTAGCTGCTTGGCCTTCCTCCCTGACACGGGCGCTGCTGCCGCGCTCTGTCCTCTGCTGGGCCCTCTGTGACGCTGCCGTTTCATGCTCGGGTGTGCCCACTCGTGCACACCCACACCACACGCCAGGTGTTGCCATCAGGCACGCGTGTAAGACCACAGCTGACAGCAGGAGGGCAAACAAACCCGATCATTTCTGTTTACCCTACAGCCGCCTGGCCCCACCGACTCTGTGCTTGCTCTCTGGCTTCTCTCCTCTCCCCTTCCATGTCTCATAATGATCTCTGGGCCCCAGTGTTCATAATCGTAGGTGTATTTGCCCTGTGCGCCTGCTCCCAAGAGCCTTTGGCAGTAAAACGTGATCACATGGGGGCAACGAATAGGAGGGAGATCAGGTCTTAGAGACTAGTGGTGGGAGGTGGAGAAAAGCCTGACCCCTTTCCTTACACTCTGAGAGCCCAAAACTTGACATTCAAGTACAGAGGTCTAAAATGTATTAAATATGATTTACAATTATAGTTATGACTTAAAAGGAAGCACATGGTATATTAATATCACCTGGAAAGGGAGACCCTCTATTTCTAAAACACAAAGAACACTGTGAACTAATGTTACCCCAGTAAGATAAAAAAAATAAATAAATAAAAGCACACTGAGTATTTTCCATGTTTGTCTTCTAAAGCTCAGACCACACACCAGACTGAGTAAGTCACATACCTGGGGGGAGCCACACAAGGGTCAGTGCCCTTTGAAGCTCTCGGGTGACTCCTTTATGATGCTGATGCTCATGTAAGTTTGGAAACTACTGGGTCAGTGACAGCTGTCCCCTCCTCATTGTGTCAGCTGCTTCAGCATATGGTTCTGAATCTTGACTGCACAACTGCAGTCGCCTGAGAAGCTTCTAAGTGGAACTGGTGCTCAGGCCCCACTTGGGTGAGGTCCGAGTGTTTCTAATGTGTGCCCAGCACTGACAGCCACTGTTCTAGAACTCTTCTCAAGGTAATGAATCGGTGATGGGGCAACTCCAGGCATGTTCCCTTCCACCCTGCCCTCCATGTTCCTCTTGAATTAAAATACTTTCTCCTTTTGTTGTCTTCAGCTAGATATGGAGAATCATAATTTAATGCTGATAAGCTGTGGTTTGTTTTGCCCTCAGTATGGGATTGTGCTGGATGCAGGCTCTTCTCACACAAGTCTGTACATCTATTCATGGCCAGCGGAAAAGGAGAATAACACAGGGGTGGTACATCAGATAGATGAATGCAGAGTAAAAGGTAAGTTGAAAAAGGAAAGGGAGGAGATAGCGGGGTAAGAGAAAGTGGAAGGTGGATGGCAAGTGGAACATATGAGAAAAAGTCAAGTGAAAACCAGCAGAGCCTGTATTACTGTTTAATCATTATATAAAAAAAATCATACTCAGTCCTTAACATTCAGTCCTTGAAGAATAAGCAAACTAAAAATAAGTGGTTGCTGCCATCAATAGGGCACTGAAAATACATTATTTGATCTTCAATCTCCTTTTGAGATATGTGTTGTTTCCTTATTTAAGCAAAAGGATACTGAGGTTGAGATAATTTATGCCACTTGTTTTAAATTTGCTTGAACTAGTAAATGATGGAATTAGGGTTCAAATGGATATTTGCTCAATTTCAAACCCATGTTAGCCAGTGGTTCTCAAATTTCAATCTGCTTGTAAACTATTTGGGAGGTTTGTTAAAGCACAAATACTAGGCCCCATCCTCAGAGTTTTTGATCCAGTAGGCCTGAGCGAAGCCCCAGAATTTGTGTTTTGAGTGAGTTCTCTGGTCATACTGATGCTGCTGGTCCGGAGAATTGCTTAATTATTGTACTCTTGAAAAAATTTTTTGTAAGCTTCTGTGTAGACATGAGGGGGTGGGTCATAGCATAAACTCTTGTGTTTCTTTAAACTTATTTTACAGAGAAGGAAACAAAAACCTGGAAAACTAGTGACTTGTAAGTAGCGTCAGAATGAGAACAAGAATCTGTCTCCTTAATCTAGGCTTCCTGCTACATAGAATCATTGTACTGTACATTGATCTTTTTCTTAGCTTGTTACCTTTATTTTTAAAAATTTAATACATTTTCCTAATAAGATTTACTTACTTTCGTACATCATTAATTTTTGGACAAGATTTGATTTCTCCTCTCCCATAGTTCTCCCACCACCACAACATCATAATTCATCGCCACCATCTGCTGTGCTCTTCCATCTTGTTTTGAACCTTCTTGCTCCGCTCCCCTAACTCTATGCTTCATATCTGTGGTCAGTTTGCAAGTTTTTTCTTTTTCCTGATCCTTTGGTTTCTCTATAGTCCACAGGTGATACCATCCAATAGCTTATTCCTTCTGACTTATTTAGATTAATCCCAGCTCCATTCATGTTGCTGCAAATGGCATGAGTTTCTTTTTAGATCACTGAGTAGTACTCCATTGATCCGTTCATCGGCTTGAAAACATTTAAGTTGTTTCTACATCTTGGTTATTGTAAATAAGTGCTGCAATAAATAAAGGGGTGCAGGTTTCCTTTAGAATTCATGTTTTTGTGGGTCGATCCTAGGAGTGGAATCAATGCAGTGGATCGATCATATGGTAGATCCATTTTTAGTGTTTTGAGGAACCTCCGCACAGCTTTTCACAATGTCTGGATCAGTTTCCTTTCCCACCAACAGAGTAAGGAGCTCCTTTTTTCCCACAGCCTTGCCAGCATTTGTTGTTTCCAGTTTTTTTTTTAATCTGGGTCATTCTCACAGGTGTAAGGTGGTATCTCAGTGTGATAAAAAAGTGATGTTGAAATTTTTTTCATATGCCTGTTTGGTCATTTGCATTTGGAGAAGTACCCTTTTAGCTCTTCTGCCCATTTTTTGATTGGGTTGTTTACTTTGTTTTTCTTGAGTTGTGCAAGTGCTTTGTATATTTTTGATAGCAGTCCCTTATCAGGAATATGATGTGCAAATATTTTCTCCGGCTCACTAGGGTGTCTCTTCATGTTGGCTGCTGTCTAGCTTCCTGGACATAAACTCTTTAGTTTAATGTAGTCCCATTGTTTATATTCTCCTTTGTTTTCCTTGCTTCTAGATATGAGTCCTCAAAGATTTTTCTGAAGTGTATGTCATAGAGTGTTTCACCTGTGTTTTCTATCTTATGGCTTCAAGTCTTACACTCAAATCTATTATCAATTTTGAGTTGATTTTGCGTGTGGTGTGAGATAGTCCAGTTGCATTCTTTTGCATGTGACTGTCTCGTATTCCCAGTACTATTTATTGAAGATGCTTTCCTTGTTCCAAGGTATATTCTTTGCTCCTTTGTCAAAGATTAATGACCATATATGTGTGGTTTTATTTCTGGGCTTTCAATTCAATTCCATTGGTTTGTGTGTATCTTTTTTTGTTACAATATTGTTATTATTATGGTTTTGTAGTATAATTTGAAGTCTGGGAATGTTCTTCCTTTGTTTTTCCTCTCTTTTCAGTCAATAGAGCTTTGGCTATTCCAGTTTTTGTTTTCTGTGATTCTGTATGAACTTCAACATTTGTTCCATTTCTTTGAAGAATGTCATTGAAACTTTTATTGGAATTGCACTGAATCTATAAATTGCTTTGGGTAGATCATGTTTATACTCCTGATCGATGGGCAGGAATATCTACATTTCTTTGTGTCTTCCATTTCTTCTAACACTGTTTTGTAGTTTTCCTTGTAGAGGCCTTTCACCTCCTTTCTTAGGCTTACTCCCAGGTATTTAATTTTCTGGGGTACAACTGTAAACGGGATGGTTTCTTAATTTCTTCCTCTTCAGATTGATTGCATGTAGGAAGGCTACTGATTTTTGTGTATTGGTTTGGTAATCTGCTACTTTACTAACTGGTTTATTGTTTTAATTAGTTTTTCTGTGGATATTTTTGGGTTTTATACACACACACACACACACGCACACTGTTTAGCTCCTTCTATTTCCTCCTTTCCAGCAGTCCATCATACACCAAATGTTATTACACTACACCATCATTTCTCTGTTCTTTATCTATCTTGGTCCTTAGAGCCAGGGATCCACTGTTTATTTTTTGTGATACAGATAACTTAGGCCCAGAAAATTATAGACTTTTAATTTGCTGGCCTGTGAAGGCCCCCACTTTACATAGTTTGTTGAGAAAGCAGTAAAGAGAAGTTTCCAAGAGAACAAGCCATTCTACCCAATAGTATCATGTCCTTTGACTTTGACTCCATCAATTTGAGCACCTCTTAAAGTTCAAATACCTCATTTTATTGGCTTTTATTTACTCCACTGCCTTCCATTTTTAGTGCTTTTTTCTTTTAAATCTAGAAGATAACTTTCCTTATGAAACTCATCCCGTGTGTGTGACCTTTAATGCAGTTAGTTCCCTCTCTCAAAAGCAAGATTTCTCTAGTCAAATATTTAGATAAAAGGTGAGTTAAAAGTTTCCAGTTCTTGAAAGGCTGGAGTTTTTGAATCAAAACAGACCATAATTTAGAGTTGATTTCCTCATTTTGGGTAAGTAAACAGACTGTTTAAAAATCCTGCAAATGATGTGGATAACATATTTGGATAATTATCTTTGAGTAAATCCCCATTATTAAAGCCCCAGTAGTGCAAGTTCTTATCCTAAAATGTGCTGACATTCTTAAGTATTGGCTTCAAAAAGCTCTGGGAATCTTTCTTGGCTCTAATCCTCTCCATAGCAACAATTAGTTTTGTTCTAAAACTGGAAAAACAATTTTACTAAGGAGGCAGGGAATCAGAATGGAAAAACCTCTGGTGAGGCAAGTACTGGAGGACGGAAGGAAATCTATTCCTGTTTCTTCGAACAAAGGAAGAAACACCTCTTCAGAAATTTTAGCTAGTTGGTAGCAATTCTTGTCTTTTCAGTAAAGCTAATGCGCCTAATGCTTATTTTAACTGACATCTTTTTCCTCTTAGGCCTTCTCAGAGTTAGCATTGTTAAGTTTAAGTTTGTGGGGTGGGGAGGCGGGGAACACCAAACAGCAGCTCTGTAGAGTAGTTACAAGATCCTTATTAAAATCTGAGCGAGCCTCTTAGGAACTTTTTGCAATTGGATGTGAAAATTGTGCCACCTGGTGGCAAACATTATTGAACGGTGGACAAACCCAGCCAGAGGTCTGAAAACAAGTCCCAACAAGGCGAGGTTCAGTGACTGTAATTGCCACCATTTATAACACACCTTACTGTTTTATAAGATTTTCATCTGCTGTGATATCTGTTCATAGGTCCTGGAATCTCATCCTATGCTTCAAAACTAAATGAAATTGACAAATCTCTGGAGGAATGTATGGAAAGAGCCAGAAGTGTGATTCCACAGTCCCAGCATGAAGAGACACCTGTTCACCTCGGAGCCACAGCAGGCATGCGGTTGCTCAGGTATAAGTTGGAGGCACACTTGGCCCTGTCCAGAACGGAAAGTCTTTCCCAGAGAAGGGAGTTACGGAGGCTGAACTGAAGGACGAGGAAAGGGCATTGCTGGCAGTCATGCATCAGCCACTCTTCTAAGGGCTGGGCGTACAGCAGTGGAAAAGACAGTGTCTCTGCCTTCCTGGAGCTTGTGCTCTAATAGATGTGCAAAAGGGACACTTTGAGAGACAAGGGCTTGTTCAGGGGACTGTGCATAGTTCTGCATAAGCAGTAAAATAATAAAAATAGCAGCTGTTTAAATTATTTTTGTATCTGTTGAGCCCTTGCTTAGTAGAATGCTTCAATTTAATCATCACTCCTCTATGAAGTAGGTGGTATTATTAACTACTATTAACCAGATAAAGCTATGGCTTATAAATATTAAACAACTCATCCAGCCACACATGTGCTAAGTGATAGAGCCAGGATTCTGAGTGAGCTCTGAGAAGGCAGGGTCCAGAACACACAATGGTCTAGTGTGGTGGGCCACACTAGGGAGTTTGGATTTTCTCTGGGAGATAATAAAAGTCATTCAAGGATGTCATTAAAGAACGTTACACAACGCTAACACTCATAAAGGAGATGGATTGGAGGGGAGGAAAAACAAGGGGAAGAGGCCTGTTGCTCAGGTGTAGAAGCCATTCAGAGGAGAGGCTCTCACGCTGCAGAGCCTGCCCCAGGGAGAGCTGTATCACACACGCTCGTTGTGACGACCTGGAAGATTTTCACCATACTGTAAATCAGTGTTATCTCAAAACAAACAAACAAACAAAAAAGATCTTAGGCCAAGAACTGAGCGAGGAAGGCTTTTTCCCAGTCTGGCACCAACTGGGTCTCTTTCCTGGGATATTTACCATTGGAGTTCTAATTTCAAACCTCAAGCAGAGTCTGGCCATGTAACCAGTCAGGAACCATCATCAGTGGCTAACATGCTACAGCTCTGCTTTAGGTGTTATATGGTGAAACAATACCCAGCTATCGCCACAGTAATCAATGTTACTTTGATGACTTTCTCTGGAGCTGGGGAAACAATATAAGTAGTATTTGAGGAAGACTGACCTATGGAGGAGTTGGAAGGACTTGGACTGTGGGAAGAAGCTGCCAAGCAACTTGGTGTGCCTCCCCCAAAGGAGGACTCCTTGCACAGCCATGCGTGGCCCCCTCGACCTCCTCATTCCAGCGTTACGGTTCACTACCTAGAAGAACTGACAGGAAGCCCTGGCTGAAATGGCTCGTCATAGTTTTTAAAATAAAACTGGTAACTCCAACTCTTCTTTTGTGCAGAATGAAAGATAAGTGGATGTCAAACAGGGTCATGGATACAGTGATAAATAGCCTCAACAAGTACCCCTTTGACTTCCAGGGCGCCAAAATCATCTCTGGCAGAGATGAAGGTGCCTTTGGCTGGGTTACTATCAACTATATGCTGGGAAAATTCACTCAGGTGAGTATCTCACAAGATCCCTGCGGGTGGCTCCCTGGGTGTGTGCTGAGACAGTACTTGGGTCACTAGTCAGTACAAATGATGGATAAATGAACAAATTAATTTGCCCCACATTTGCTAGGTTGACCAGAAATATAATTATCTTGTAAGAGTTTTTACAGCATGAGAATAAGGATGTTATATCTCCACTTTAGGAGAAGGCATAGAGAAAATGAAAAATTTATCATTAAAAACAAGAATAGCTAATATTTTCTGAGTGCTATGTCTTATATTATGTTAAGTCCTTTCCTTACTGCCTGACTTCATCTTCAAAACAACCATATGAGGTATTCCTCTCATTTTATAGCTCCAAATTGATGCCCACAGAAGGTCATTATGTTGTTCAATAGTCACACAACTAATAAGCAAAAGAATTTGAACTTGAGTTCTTCTGGCCATAGATCCCTCTAGTTTGTAAACACTGGATGTGTGTTTGTGTATTATTGGAGTCTGAATGATGTCTTTGGAGCTCCTCATTTCTTGCTGCTGATTGATAGAGACTCAGGAACCCTGGTGAGCTCTGTGTCACCCTTATGCCCCTGCTCTCGCCTTAGGAAGTTCCTGAGTCCAATCAGTAGTATGAAAAGTGTTCTGGCACTCTTACCACTTGTGTCTGTATTCTCTTTTAGACATTGAGTTGGTTCAACCTGAATCTAAAGGGAAACACTATTCCTACAACTTATGGAGCCTTGGACCTTGGGGGAGCCTCTACACAAATAACTTTTGTGCATAACCAGCCATTTGAACTACCTGCAGAAAACCGTGTGCACTTCCAACTCTATGGCAAAACGTATATTTTATTTACACACAGTTTCTTGTGTTATGGGAAGGACCAAGCACTCTTGAAGAAACTGTCCTTTGATGCTAAGGCAAGTATAACTCAATACGGATCTGTTCTCCCCACATCTGGGCTACCAGCCCTCACATTCTGTTGTTTTCTCATTCTACTTCAGTAATTGATCTGAGCTTCATTACTACCCCAAACCTTTTCAGGCAGAATATCGAAGTACCTCTGGACAACCCTTACTAGTAGAGTCATCCCTTCTTTTTTTTTTTTTAGCTTAGACAAAGCAATGCATATTTAATAGAAAAGGTCCAAACTGAAGCAGTGGAGATTTAGAATGAACATAATCAGTGTCTTTGTTTTTAAAGATGTATTTATTTATGCTTACAGAACTGGGGTACAGGTCAGAGTTGTGGCGGGTGAGAGGATTCACCAGAGACAGAGTGGGGAGCAGAAAAAGCAGATATACTGAAACACATTGCCTAGGGGAGCAACGGTGGGTCAGGAGAGGTTTGCCATGCCATGTGGGTCAGCTCCCTGGCCGGGGATCGAACTTGAGCTGCAGTAGCTTCGGAGAACTTCATAATGCAGCTCTTTAACTCATTGCACCTCCATGGAGAGCCCATAAACAGTATCTTTTAGTAGGTGCTTTGAGCATGATGTGGTTTAAGAAGACAGCTCTGTTTTTGGCAAGTACCACATCTGAGATGACATCTGAATAATTATTATATTTAGTCTCAATACATTTTCAAAGGAAATGGATTACATCCTAGCTACACATTTGTAAATAGCAAGCATCATTTTTGTTGTTATCTCCTATAATATGTCTGTCTTATGAAAGCATTCTCTTCCAGAGATTGCCTCCTGTCTTTGTTTACCTCATTGTCTCCAAGGATGTGACTCAGTTCCATAGTGACTAACTTCTCACACTTTTGGGGTTGACAATGAAAATCCATTCTAGAGTATTGTTGATGTGTATATGTATATGTGTGTGAGTGATTAATAAGGCATTTACCACTGTCTAATTTCCAGTTCCTACAAATTGCAGAAACAGGGTTGCTAGAAACAACTTGGAGAGGAGACAAAAACACAGAATATGTCAATCACCACTTCCAGTCTTGCCTTTAGGCGCTTTAAGCATTTTGAAAGGGAGAAAAATTAAACACACTCAAAATCACTCAAGTGCCATGCAAACTCAGAACAAGGATGTCACATCTGTCTGTTCCCCATCTCCATTAAAAGGACAGCCAGGTCTCTGCTCACTTCCAAAGTCCTCTTTCTTGTTCTCAGAAGCACATTCACAGAATGACCATCCCAAGAGAGGGCCTGTTGAGCGACGCCTACTGAGCGCCAAGGCTCCATTGAGCCTCTGTTCACAGGAGTCCCTTCTCTTGTTTGGGTTATGAATCATTTTGATAATCCTGACTTAAATGATGTAAGGAACTATTAGCTCTCGGAGCATCTGATATTTTTATTTGAAGATAGCAAGGGGGATTGATTCCTGAAGAACTAACTCTAGTTCAACATTGTGAGAGCCTTGATAGTTTTCCTTGTGAATCTGCTTCTGACCTTTGTGATAAGTACTAAGCATTCAGGGACATTCCAAACTCATGGAATTGCTGGGTCCAGCTTTAACTATATTCATTTTTTATAAATAGTGCAAGTTCATTTACATCTGATATCAATTCTAGCTCACCTTATATAAACCAGAGGCTTCCCAAAAGTGTATTAATAAGGGGGTTGGAAGGCAGGGGGATATACTACAAACAATGCTTAGTGCTGGAGAATCATACATTTCTCCATAAGAATGAACTCATATGTGCTTTTGTAACCAAAACATTCACAAATGATGTCTTCAAATAATTTTTCCATTCAGAAATCAAGAGGACTCCTCAAGGACCCATGTTTTCACCCTGGATATAAGAGGGTAATGGCACTAATGGAATTTTTTGAGAGCCCCTGCACTGAGAGAGTGAGGTTACTTGGAAAGGACTTTCTTGAAATACGTGGCACTGGAAACTATCAACTTTGCAAGAAAAACATAGAAAATCGACTCTTCAGGAACAGTACCTGCATTTACACCCAGTGTGCCTTCAATGGGACTTTCTTACCACCAATCAAAGGACATTTTGGGGTAAGTTGAGAAATGATAAAGACATTGGTTAGGATGACTTTGGATGTGTTACAGAGTACATGCCTACAAAGTGTGTAATAGGAATTATTTTTCTCTCATATGACAAAACACTGAGGCAGCAAATACAGGGTTAGGTCTTTGGCTTAATAATGTCAGGACTTGGGATCAGCTTTCCCATTACCCTCTTAGCCTTCTTAAGAATGCTGCTATAATGGCAGCTGCTAGTCTAAGATTATATCTACATAAGCAAAACCAAAGCAAGAAAAAAGGCAGTATCACATGCACATATATCTCCCCAATTTTGCAGAAGTGCCAACAAACATCTTTCAGATGCCACTAGGCAGACCTTGGTGAAATGTACATTTCTAAATTAATCTGTGATAAAAAGGAATGGGTTATTGTGGTTGGTTTAGATCATGAACAATCATTGCTCATCTCCCAGAATTGGGGATTCTGTCCTGGTCATTTTTGCTTCCCTCCTTGGGCAGGATCAGAAATCTGTAAGTCAGATGAAGGGGGTGGAGGGTTGGTTATTGCATAGGCACAGATTAGGGTCTGGCTTCTCAGAAGCAGTAGTAGGGGGAAAAGCAGTGGTTATATGTCTCAGCTGGTGGTTTTCCTCTATAAAGATATTTAGAAAAGAAAGCCCCAAAGAAACCTAAAAGATACCTTCATTTTCATTACACTTTGAAGAATATATTTGAATAGAGGTAAAAGATTTTCCCCTTGATCTACTCATTATTCACATTTCATATTCCAGTCCTGGAGATAAAGTTTTTTTTTTTTAAGATTTATTTATTTATTCACACAGAACTGGGGTACAGGCCAGAGATGCAGAGGGTGAGAGGATTCACCAGAGACAGAGCGGGGAGCAGAACAGGCAGATCGATGAAGTACACTGCTGAGGGGAGCAGCGGGCAGGTCAGGAGAGGTCTGCCACGCCATGTGGTCACCTCCGGGGCAGGCGGGGATCGAATTCATGTGGAAGTGGCTTAGGCTTCTTAGTGCTGTGCTTTAACCCGCTGCGCCACCAGGGAGGGCCTTATTTTTATTAAAATATATATATATATATTTACTCATACAGACCTGGGGTACAGGCCAGAGGTGCAGGGGTGGTGAAGCATTCACCAGAGACAGAGTGGGGAGCAGAACAGGCCGACTGACGAAGTACACTGTTGAGGGGAGCAGTAGGTGGGTCAGCAGAGGTCTGCTGCACCCTGTAGTCACCTCCGGGGCAGGGATCAAACTGGCACTGAAGCAGCTTGCAGTGCTGTGCTTTACACCGCTGTGCCACCAGGGAGGGCCGAGATAAAGTATTCTTATAATGATAGTTATATTATTATAAAATGACCAATAAACAATTATTGACTATGCCATATATATTAATAAGTATTAAGCATTCAGGGACATTCCAAACTTCTTTTATTTACACACACACACACATATACATATATATACACACACATATATATATTAGTTATATATATGCTTATATATATATATAAGACATAATCACTCAAAATAGCATTCAGAGACACAGGGCTTTGGTCTGCCTTCACACTCCTCCCATTTTCAGAAAGCAGATCAACATGTGAAGAAGCAGGATCAACTCCTTCTGGGACTCTTGCAGGAAAAAGATCCTGCATAGTCCTATCACAGATAAAGCTCCTTTAGATTTTGTATAATCACTACAAAATTAATGATATGAGTTCCTTATTCCCTTGGTCTCTGGAAAAACAGTATTGGGTGGTACTGTGGGCTCATTCACCTAAGCCATGACCAGACCACAGTTTCCTCCCCTTCAGGTCCACAGAATAGGACAATGACTGGCAGAGCTATACTTTGTTATCCGTTGATTCCAAACCCAAATTTAGAACAAACTAGAACCATACCTCACTCTTACGGCCCATAACGGGGCTGGCACTGGCTCTTCATCTTAGACATTGTTAGGTCAAGCTCCTAAACTAAGATTCAACTGTCAGAACTGCTAGGAAGTGTTGACTTGTTAACATTTCTGAAATCTTTACCTTCTAGGAAACCTGGCCCAATACTTGCCTTGAAGCTTGAGTAAACTGTTCCTAGTGGTGTGGGTGTGGGAATTTCTTGCCCTTGAATGTGAATCTTCCAAGGAAGTTTGGGAGAAGCAGAGCTGACAGAGTGGAGGAATCTTAGCGCCCTCTGTAGGCTGTAGGCTTTTCGGTTTTATCCTTACTGAAATTGCACTTGGCAGCCTTTTGAATCTCAGTTTGGCTGTCTCCTTAGATTAGCTCATTGCCTTCCTCTGAATCTGCTCTTTCTTCTCTGGTTGTAGCCTAAGGTCAGCACTGTACCTGTACTTAACTCCTGCATTGGCAGTTTTTAAGTTTCAGATTTTTTTTATTGTTTCATCTGTAATTTCTCCCTAATGTCTAAAGATTATTTGATTTTAATACGTTTTATTTGGTTTTATTTGGTTTTTAACATGCCTACCTCCCACAAGCAGTGGTGAAGTGATTAATGTTCAACAACCAGCAGTTTGGGGTTAAAGGGACCAACTTGTGGTATTTGGAATTATCATAGTATAAATATGCCCACCATGATCTGCTTTAAGCTATCAACATGATATCAGTTGACTCACAGCATCCTAAAAACTTAGCAGTAAGCTCCTGTAGTACTAAAGGGCCTGTGTTAGCACATCACTGCAGATAGCAAAAAGCTAACCTAACCTATCACCAGGTGGTCCCTTAAAAAGGTGAGTTCTCTCTCCTAACTGTCACCCTAGACTACATTCATGCAGGCAGTTCCCATTGCTAATTCCTGCATCTCAAAGTTTAACTACCTGCAGCACAAAAGGTAATCACATCCCCATCATTTCCAGGACCAGTCAACCTGGACATGCTCAAGTCACAGAAAATTTGCAGGAAGGGAACTTTTGCCACAATTGCATTCTGCACAAATGATCTGTTTCTTAGTTTACCAATAGAGTATTAAAAATTATTAGTATTTTTATCTTGTTTGGCTATACCATATCCTTGCTTGCTACAGAGTCCAATTTGTGGTCTTCTGGAGAGTGAGTCAGTATCACACTGTGTGTGTTGAACACAGTACAAGATTCTGCATTTTTCTCTTGTAGGCATTTTCAGCTTATTATTATGTGATGGACTTCTTAAACTTTACATCAGAAGAACTCCCCTCTGAGAATGAGGTGACTCAGATTATGAATACGTTCTGTGCTCTGCCTTGGGACAAGGTAAGTGAATAGAAGCAACAGATGTCATCATTGTCCTGAGCTCTTAACAGCTTTCTGGGTATGGTCTGTTCCTGAAGTTGTAATGATTTGACCAAGGTCCAGAAAACGTGTTAGAAAAGCCCAAGGATGCATAGCCAGGGTTGAGATTTCTGGCCTTCCTTGATAACTTGGCATACAATGGCTTAACCAAAAAAGACTTATTTTTCTAACCTAATAGGAAGTCTAGCAGTGGGCAGCTTGACTATCTCAGTCATTTTTTCCTCAGTTCTGGTGTTAACGTCTATTTCCTCAAAGGCACAAGAAATGACTTCAGGGGTCATATAGGTCTTCACAGAAGTAAAAGCCATCCCAGAGCTCCTTACAGTCGTTTTCCTATAACTTCATTGGCCAGGACTGACTGGGGATGCAGGGTGCAGGAGTCTGTGATTGGCTTAGAGCCTTAGGTCCCTCTGGAGCGGCTTCCTTGAACTCGATAGTCACTACTGCCCCTCCTCCCATCAGAGCTAAAAAAGCCAAACAAGGCTTTATTAGCAGGGAAGACAGGTAGTTCACAGAATCTGCCACACCATTTTGGTGAGTTTTCTCTATTATCGAAGTCAAGTGTATCTATGACTTAATCAATTTGAAGCACAATTTTTTTATTGTCTGAGGCACTGAATCATTCACAATCCATCCTACCTGATTGATGTTTTCAGAGAAAAGGAAGGTAGCCGGTCTACTCTGATTTAAAAAGACAGAAGATCTACAGATAGCACAACACAGCAGCTGCTTTAAGTGGACATTTGCAAAAGTGAATGGTGCTTTAATACTTAAGAAATGCAATTAATTATAAATGGTTGCTCTTCTCCTTGGCACTGACATAGGAGAGAAAGGTTGTGCAAAAGTTTGAAGGGTTGGTCTTCTCTCTAAGTATTCTGTCTGAAGGAGAGGTACTTGGGGGGTTTTGGAGACTGCTCAAATAGGCATCAGCACTTTCCAGTTTACAAAACACTCAGAGGGAACATTTTGCAGCAGGTGGTGGTCTGTGGAAGGAGATGAGGGTCTTGGAGTTGAGGACACTTGAGACCAAGCCTACATGTATATATGGCTTTTGTATATGACTTCGTTCAGAGTATAAATTCTGTCAGATTTTCTCTTCTTTCCCTCACCTACTTTATTTCATCAGATTAGTTTGGGAACACTTGTATGCAAGTCTTTAGGTCTGCTGAGGTAAGCCACATGAGACATTGCTCAGAGGCCCTGAAACTCAGAGACCTGAGTTTGGTAGAAATTAGGCAGCATTTGAGAAGGTGAAGGGTAGGTGTATTGGGGCAGAGGGATTTGCAGGGTGAGGTGATGTTGAGATGTGTGTGTGGCCCAAGTTCTACTTTTTCCAACTTCATTGTCCACCCACATGGATTGTCCACCCACATGGAAAGGACAGTTTGGCCACCTACCTGTTGTAGAACAACTCTTCTTTTCCTGCTTACCTCGTTAGTCAGAAGGACTGCTACTCCAGAATATCTTGACTTTGGGAATATCCCTTCTAGATACCTTTGGCAGAGATAAAATGAACAATTAAGAATATACTATGTCTTGAGAAGTGGGCTAGAAGCTCTACATATATTATGTTGAGCTTCCTGTCCCTGTCTTAGCAGGGAATGAAAGGAAACCCAAATCCTTGGGTCCCTGACTGGTGAAACTGGGAAAATGAGTGGAAAGGACATTCATGCTTGTCTTCTGGTAGGTAAATTGAAGGGCTGGTAAAGTCTTTTTACATCCAAAACATAAACAACTTTCAATCGGAAAACCTGGTCACCCAAGAGCTAGTTAGCCCAAGAGAACAATGCTTTGAAATTCTCAGTATACTCTGTCACAACATGCCAACTCATGCACTTTTAGCCTTTGGAGGGAAATGCCATATCCTGTCCACTGGGGGATAGTAAGGGAAAATGTGTGGGGAAGAGAAAACCTGATACTGCCCAGTGGGAATGCCCCCTGGAATGGAAAAGAGAGAGGAGAAAGGGGCAGACAGGTAATAGAGAAGGAAGTGGTTGGCCTGTTCCCCAAATTGGAGGGCACATATTATTGAGTCCACAAGTACTAACATGATCAGTACTGGACTGAGAACCAGATTGATCTCTTTGGCTTCTATATTATTGGCTACTACTGTAAATGATCCTCAGAAGATTAGACTGCACAACCAATGTATAGCTCTTCAGAAGAAGGAAGGGGAGAGTGTTGAAGTTTACAAGGGAACTGGGCCACATAGATCTGGTTCAGATAGGAGTCCTTTTGCTTGTTAATGTATGATTTTGGCCAAATTGCTGATCAACGCCAAGTCTCAGTTCTCGCATCTTGGAAATGGGCTAATGATTTCTACAACATAATTTTGTTATGTGCTAAGTGCTGAGCACTGAGCCCCAGGATATAAGACCAGCCATTCAGAACCTAGGCAACCTGTGGGGTTGCAGAAGTTTCAAATTGAGTTCAACTGGACTGGAATTTTGTGTTCCAAAATGGTTCCTCAACAGGCCTGTTGCAGTTGCATCCAATAGCAGAAGCGATCTTTCCACAATGGAAAAACAGAGTGCATTCACTAAAAGAAAGTGGCAGAGATCTGAAGAGGCAAAGTCAGCTGTTGCTACATCAAAATCTCAGGAAAATGTCACATGCAGAGTTGTTTATTGAAAAGTAATTCCTAGGATTGTGACACAAAGACAGGTTCCAAACACAGCCATTCATAGAATTCTGTCAGAGTAGGAGAAGGCAGTTTAGGTGTGGACTTAAGACTTCCAGAAATGGAGGCTGGCAGGAACCAAGTGAGAAATGGACCCCAGCCAGCAATTAACATTCAAAGATGAGCTATTCCTTGAAAGGGGAGAGAGATACAGGCAAAAGGTGGGTAGGCAGGTGTTGTTAACCCACCGAGGGGTGCGCTTACTGCTACGTGCAGGCGAGACTCAGAGAGTAGGAGACTCGGAGATGTGAGGGAATGAAGCAGGAGCCTGGAGTCTGAAGTCTGTCTATTAGGACCACCCATGGGTATATATAGGGTCTGTTCTTGCAGGTAAAAACAGGAAATGTGCCGGATATGCACAAAGGGCGAGGTGCATGTTTGTACCCGGCCTGGGGCTTCTTGTAGCTTCTACTTGAAACAAAGTAGTGGGCTGCAGCTATTTGCAGGACAGAGTGCACTGTGCTCTGCTGACTTGTTTGCTGGCCTTACTGGGGAGTGAGTGTGCTCACCCATCCACAACATTAACCAGGGCAGACAGGTGCACTTGAGGTCCTGCAGAGTTAGCCACAGGCAGGCAGCCCTCAGATCACATATTTATATAACACATGGCATACGACTTAGTAAATGATGTCTGCTTACAAATGTTAGTTCTTTCTCTGCCCAGGATGTCTAGGGGGAAGTGCCTGTTTCAAGTGCTGAGAGACAGGGCAGCAGACACAGCTGGGTTGAGGAGAGGTTCTGGCCTGTTGGCCTCTAATTGAGGGCTGGAGAGTGGCAGAGTCAGCTGTGGGTGTCTGGGCACATATTTGCAACAGCTTGGAGAGGTAAGCACGGGGTTGGCAGGCAGTCCTTAATATCTTCATTCAGCACTGGGTGAGTACAGACATATGAAGGACTTGAGAATACTACTATGCCTGACTCACATGCAAAAAAAAATAAGAAAGAGGTGAGGTAAGGACAACAGAGGGAAGGTGAAATGTTGGCACTTTAGCAGTCCCAAGCAAAATGCTTCCTAAGCTGTGTTCCAGAGCTGCAGTGCTCAGTGCATGCGTGACCACCAGTGTGTGCGTGACTACCTGTGGTGATAGTTCTGCAGTGAGGACTAATGAGCTCACAGGTGCTGCTGATGCTGCTGGCCCAGAGCTACACAGAGTGGAAAGCTCTTTACACTTTCCCCTTAAAGTGCTCTGAACTCAAGACTGCTCAGGTCATATAAAAATCTCTGATTAAACAAAGATTAATATATTCCTTTTTTGCAAGATTTTTCAGCTAACATGCTATTGTAATTGTGAAATTCAGGTTTCACAAAGTATGAAATGAATTAATCAACTAGACCACAAAAACCTTTGCCCTGGGTCATTTATTTATATAGAACCTTGTGGAGAAGTTCCCTGTATAGACCCTAAGCTAGAAGACCTGTGCCCATTGCCGGAATGCAGCGCCAGGCTCTCAGCCCACAGGAGCTGGGGCTTCCTCCGCCTAATCAGCAGTCATACTGTAAAAGAGGGTGTGCATTGTGCCTGTTACACGAATACAGTTCCTTCACTTCCAGGTGAAAGGAAGGTATAACAACACGAAAGAGAAGTACCTGAGTGAATACTGCTTTGCTGGTACATACATTTTTGTTCTCCTCAACAAGTTTCACTTCACAGAAGCCAACTGGAAGAACATTCACTTTGTGGACCAGGTAATTTGGGCCATTGTTTGGAGTCAGGTGGGGGTGACTGAGGCGGCACAGGGTGGGAGGGGTGGAAGTCCAACTGAGGGAAGGGTGGGCCTCATGTCCTGTTTTGCCTCCTTGTCTCGAGACAAACTGCAGCATGTGTCTGGTCCACCCAGGGTGCTGGCCAGCTAGCTCAGCCTTGCCTTTTTGCTCATGTAACAGTGATGACTACAATTCCTATGAAACAAGAACATGAGATACTAAGTGATACCACTGTATTTCAATAGCCACAGTTATTCTATGTGCTGCTTCAACATCTATGCTGAAGGCCCCTTCCATAGTAGGGAAGGGATTATCGTGGTGTCAGAAGAGGCAAAGGCCTTGCAGATGGTGGCTTTAGGGTAGACCCCTCTGAAAAGTCCACGTGGAATTGGGGATGAGGGGTTGTGAATGAGGGTTTTTGCTTAAAAAAGCAGACTCAGTTGGAGACATAAAAAAGCGTCGCCACCAGCAGGCTTTCTGTAGTGACAACTGCCGGCATCCAGTCACAGAGCAACATTGACATGGTTTGCACCTCTCTTGCGCAACTCATGCTTGATGAAAATGCCACTGAAAAACGGCAGTGTGTCTCTACCTTTTAATATAAAGTAATTTACCTGCTTATTGAATTTGGTGGTTTTAAGCAAAACAAAACCTTGAGTTAGAGGGATTTGAGGTTCCATTGCACTTTGCCCATACTGACTTTGCAAACTCAAGTACAAATCTTTTCTTGTTTTGATATTCCTGTCTTCTTTTCATTTCATCATGGTTTAGTTTATCTGCTTGAAGGATATGTCAGTATCACATATACCAACAATTTAAATGTTCTTTGCTATCCAGTGAATGATTCAAGTTTTCTAAACCTTAAATTAACTCTGGAGCCTTCCTTAACTATGCAGTCAGATAAGGCCCCGGCTCCCCCCATAAAAGGAACCCAACCTTTTATAAATTATTAATTTCCAGCACTGATAAGGGTTTAGGGCACAGGAATTTTTTTTCACATGGTATTGGCTGGAATGTCAATTGGGAGATTGCTTTACAATATGTGCTAAGAGCTTTCAACATATACTAGAAAGTGATAAAATTGAACATACAGTACAGTCATGCCAGCGGTAATGAAGTAGAAACCCTTAAGAGAGACAGACTGATCTTTCCAAGGCGGCATTAGGTAAATGATTCTGTATTCAATTTAATTTCTTTTTTTTTTGTAAGAATAAAATATGCATAGAAGATTGGAAGGATATGTTACAAAGTGATAGCAGGAGCAACTTCTGAGTGGTGAGGTGGAGATAGTTTTCCTTTCTTATTAGGATTATTGTACTTCCTAATTCTTCTGCCATGACCATGTACAACTCATGCAATAAAAACACTTACCAAAAATTTTGTTATTTACAGAATACTTTGAGGTGACTCGAAAACATTCCTAGGAAGATGTAGGATCTAAGCATGTTTTATTATTTAATAAGAATCCTTTCTCAGGCATGTGCACCATCTTCTATCCTCCATAAAGTACGGTCAACTTGTTGAGATTATTCACCAATTTCTCCCCTCACTGAATAATAAAGAAGTCATAGTTTTCTCTGGGTGAAACTCCTGGGCTTGATATGGCTGTACATAGACATTCATTATCTTCTCATCCTTTGACTGTTCCCTCACATCCTCTTTGCTCCCTGTCCAACCCACTCCATGCCTGCAAACAACAAAAAAGGAGTGCAAATCTCCAAAGGCCTATTGAATTAACCTCCTGGAATGGAGACTGGACATTAACCGCATTCCCTTTTGAATTTTGGGAACACAGCAATGAGGTCCAAACTCTCCTTTTTTAGGCACTTGCTCTGCTTTTCTCACAACCATATTCCCAGTTGCAAATATAAGAGCTATTTAGGGACCTGAACATGGCACTCTTCACCCACTGGTTGCTCTGTGTCATAGATGGGGCTGCAATGAAAACTCATTTAATTCTCAACCAGAAACAATGAAATTACCCCACTGTTTGCAGATGGACGGCAACAGCATCGGCTGGAGCTTGGGCTACATGCTGAACCTGACCAACATGATCCCACCCGAGCAACCTCTGGTTCCACCTCTCCCCCACTCCACGTACGTCTTCCTGGTGATCGTCTTCTCCCTGATTCTGGTGATGGTGGTCATCACAGCCGTGTTTATCTTTCTCAAGCCTTCGTTTTTCTGGAAAGACATGGCATAGAAGGTGCAGCTGAAGTGTGACTGGAGTGAAAGAAAACTTGCACAGAGGCAGTTTCCCCCACAGTAGGGTGCAAGGGCCGTTACTTCCTTGTTCACCAAGCCTAGTCCTGACCGCATGAAGCTTCTCTGGCTAAAGCCTTTTTGTGAGAGATGTTCACCATCTTCTGCCTCAAGGATTTCTGGCAGATATTGTCTCTTTTGTGAGTCTTTCCCAATCCCCCTCTCCCCCTTGCTCTTTTGTGCTTGGTAGGTCTTAAGAGACCAACACCTTTTGTGGTCTTCACTTTATAATAGAGCAATATTGACTTTGTCCAGAAAACCTGAGCATTCTGAGGCCTCTGCTGGGAAGTTATGCTGGCTGAAAGAAGAATCTCAGGAACTCTTGCAGACCCTTTCTCCTTTCCCCACTTATTAAGAAAGCAATCCAATGACTTTGAAGAGGGCAGGCATACATCCCCCCCCCCCCCAGCCTGCTCTACATGAGAGAATTCTCTAGTCTAGGTAAATGTGCTAAGGCCAAAGAGTTTTACAAAGGAATTTATGTGCTCATACAGTTAATCCAATATTTGATGTAATCCAAAACAGGGATGTGGATGAGTCACATATTCCTGGATGATGCCAAAATGTTACAGAGATTTTTTTAAAAGCTGATGTAGATATAGCTATTCAGTTATCAGGGCACTCTACATGCTAAGTGTATACACATCAGGAAGAAAAATAGTTACAACTCAGGGTTGGAAAAGGTTACAACTCAGGGTTGAATCTATTGGAATTGTGTTTTTATTATAGTAAAACACATGATATAAAACTTAACCAATTTAACATGTGCAATTCAGTGGCATTTAGTACTTGCACAAAGTTAGGCAACCATTAACCATGCCTGCAGAATATTTTCATCATCAAGAAATTGGCTAGAGACAAAAATCGTTTCAAGTCGATGACTTGAACCACTGACCATTCAGTTTATAGCAAAACATGTTAATAAATAGCACCACAAAGATGCTCATTGAGTTTGTAGTAACATGCTTTAATGGCCCGGGTATAATTTAGTGAGAGAGCTTTATTAATATACCTTTCTGTCAGTGTATCAAAATGGGCCAGGAACCAGATATGGAAGAGCTGTTACCAACCCTGTCAAAAATGACTCTATTTACTTATTTCATGGACTGTGTTGTGGGAGAAGCAGAAGCTGTGCTGTGGACCTTGTCATGGAAACATGAAGAAACCCTCTACTTCCTGCTGGAACTTACCCTGCCTGTTGAGCAGGATGGAGAGGTGATATGTTACTCTGACCTTTCCCAAGCTATCCAACTCTACCACTGTGCACTAACCATTGAGCTGATGGGGGTTGGAGGGAGAATGGGGAGAATAGGGAAAAGCTCACTCACAAACCCAAAATCAGAAGTTTCTACATCATTTGAAAAATTGAGTGATTTTTGACAGGTCGACATAAGCTTCACAAAGCTGTGGATAGGAACATTTTCTGCTACTCACAGTTGAACTTACTGTACATTGAATAGGAAGGAGAAGTCAAATTAGAACATTCTGGAACCTTTCTAGTGGGTTATATTTTGGTAACAAATATCTATTGAGCATTTGTTGTGTGCCATTCTTCCTGCGCAAATACATTATATCATTTTCTCATTTAATCTCCTCAACAATCTGCAAGTAGCTACTTCTTTTTCTCTCTGACACAGAAATTGAAACTCCGGATGGTTCAATCCCTTGTCCAAATAGCTGAGCTGAAGCATGGCATCCACGTAACCATTTTTTCTCACAAGTGTGATAGGCCGTCTCCTTATAACTTCTAAGTGCATATTTAATTCTATATGAATATAGGGTTTATGGCGCATGCTGTAAAAGTTGGAAAGAAGGCTTGCTTACTGATGGATTTGTAATTTAATATTGTCTTAAATCCACAAAGACTGTCATGGTAACACTGATACAGTTTGAGAACTCTGCATGTTCACATGCAATGTATAATGCTAATCAATGATTTCTGTACTCCTAGTTTTTAAATATATTGCTTTCTCACTGCACAGCATTCCAATATCAAATAACTAGTAGTTGATGATGATGATGAAAATAAAAGGTCAAACAGAGTAAACAGCAGTTCCTTACAAAGAGAGTAAACAGCAGTTCCTTACTGCCTTATGTCTGCATATACAAGTCAATGGACATTCTCTATGTTGATCCTAAAAACAAAATGAAAGGATGGCAGTAGTTTTAATTTTACAAATGAGGGTCACACAAACTAGTGTATGACAGAGCTGTGTTTTTCTGCCCCAAGTTTATTGCCTTTTGTTTGTAAACACTGCCCCTTCACAAGCCTCTTAGCTTACATTTCCTTAAGTGAACACTGAAACCTTTGCTTACTCCACTTTTGTCCTGTTGCCTGGGTAAAAAAAAAAAAAAAAAAAATTCTTAGAGTATCTGGGGACCGAATTTCACTTGTTACTGAAGCCATGAAGATAATTAGTAGATACAACCTAATTTCATATATGTTGAAGGGAGAGTTGGTTTTGAGGCAGATCCAGGAATTCCCTTTGGACCATTCTACATAAGGCAGGCCTGATAATAGGGTCACTATGTCATTTTAATGTTGGATTGGCTATTGTTTATAGATGATTACTGTTTCTTTCTGGACTTTTACCCAAACTTGGTACCAGTGACTCCATTCATTTAAAAGATAGGAATTTTTTTTTCTATGAACCCTTGAATGAGGGTCAGGGAATCAGCAGAAATGGTTATAGCTATAAACAGAAGAATGAATTTACTTGATTAAGTTGTATGTTTCATATTACCCCATTCTTAAATTAAGAACTATGATATAAATAAAAGTTTTTAAAAAGCATATTTCATTTTAATGTGTTAATCAAGATCTCTAAGAAAAAGATGGTACAATCAAACTAGCTAAGGAGAATTTAATAGTGTCTATATCTAAAATATTTCAACATGTAATTAGTATAAAAACATCAGATATTTTTTTCATATTAAGCTTTTGAAACATGTTGTGTATCTTCACACTTATAACACTTCTCACTGAAGACTAGTTATCATTTCAAGTGCTCAGTAACATGTGTGATTAGTGGGTACCTGATGGGACAGTGTATGTCTAAAAGTACACCCAAAATATATCAGAAGACAAGGGCAATCTTTGTCCTTTTAGGGGGGGCATTTAAAAAAATACCTATAGATGTTTTAACACTCTTGCTGTTACTACTTTTATATGAAGTTTAACATGATTCTTAAACACATGTTTAAGATCCTCAGGTTTTATTGCCTTTTTTTCTTTGAATGCGTGAAGGTAGCAATGTATGTTATTCTAGCGATGTGTGTTACTACCATTAAAATATCTTCCCACTTATTGTCAGTTTGAAATATAACCTGAATTTTACCCAAATTGGTATGGTCCCTCTCTGATTCAAAACCAGTAGCTGCTATCTTGTAAAAACATTACAATTGCTCCAAATTAACTGTGCTCACTTACCATGGCTCTTTTCAGGTTGTGTTAGTTTAGTTTTTATATTTCTGATAACAATCTCAGAGATTCAGTGGCAGGCAACAAACTATTCTCGAGTCTGCAGGTCAGCTGGGTGGCTCTCCTGTGGGCATAGGTCTCGTTCAGATCAGCCCTTTTTCATGATGAACGGCACAGTCACAGGAGAGTGAGAAAAAACAGAAGTTGTCTCTTAAGGCTTTGTCCAGGAAGGGGCCCTGTAGTCTCCACCCACGTTCTATGGACCAAAGTCAGTCATATGGCCTGGCCTAATATTAGCAAGTTGGAGAACTTGGGAAACCCTGGGAGAATTGGGAAAGTGCATGGATAATTCTAACACAGAAAAGGAGTGAAAGACACCCCCCCCCCCCACTGGTGGTGCAAGGGGTTAAGTTGCAGCACTATGAAGCTATAGGCAGCTACTGCAGCACGATTTTGATTCCCAGCCAGGAAGCTGGCCCACATGGTCCAGCAGATCTCTCCTGTCTGGCCTGCTGCTACCCTCAACCATTGCATTCCAATAGACACATTCTATCTCTGATGAATCCTCTCACTCCCCTCCCTCCACACCTCTGGCCCATATCCCTGCTCTTGTATGCATAAAGAAATCTTTAAAAATTATTCCAGAAAGTTATGATAAGCCTGACAATTCTGTAGAGTGTTTCTTTTGTCTACAAATTTTTCCAACAAAATAAAAATCTCCAGGGCCCAGTTGAAGGAATTCAGACTTAAGACTGGCAATCATGAAATACTCTTGCCCGGGTATCTTGTTAAAAATTCTTTTTGGGGAAACATAACACTTCATAAGCATCAGAGCATCCGAGGAGTGGTTGTTACCAAAATACCAGTCTCTTGTGCCTCTCTTCTGGCACACTCACTTCACTGGTGTTTATAATAGTCTCCATCCCAGTGGCGCAGCGGGTTAAAGCACAGCACTGAGAAGCTAAAGCCACTTCAGCATGAGTTTGATCCCCACCCTGGAGGACCCACATGGCACAGAAGACCTCTCCTGACACACCCGCTGCTCCCCTCAGCAGTGTACTTCATCAGTCAGCCTGTTCTGCTCCCCACTCTGTGTCTGGTGAATCTTCTCATTGCCCCTGCACCTCTGGCCTGTACCCCAGTTTTGTATGCATAAATAAATCTTAAAAAAAATCTCCATCCCTCTGGGCTGGACCATTGCTGACATAATCATAACCCTTTGTACATCATCTTGGTTTATTTATTTTTTCATACAGAGCTGGGGTACAGGCCAGAGTCGCATGGGGTGAAAAGGTGCTGATCAATAGGAACCCTTAACCTTTTCCCAGACCTGTGGGGGGAGCGTATGCTATCAGTCCTTAGCATTTTCATAATAAAGGACAAACATTTTGCTCTTAGCAAAATCTCCATTTATTCATATTAATGGGAAATAATTGGGTGATATCCTTCAAATTTAGTTATATCTCAGTTTCTTTTTTTCTTTGTATATGCTTTGAATCCAAAACTTACTCCTGCAGCTATCAATTTGTAAGTTTCCAAGCAAAAGTATATATATATTTTTAAATAAAAACTGGTAACTAAAACATTTCATAGCATCTTTTCATTTAAAAAAATGTTTCATGACTAGATCACTTTTACCACAATTTATCTGATGGGTTAAAGAAGTAATTGTATAGATGTGGCTGATGACATGTTGGATTATTGTACTGACTTTATGTTGGGAAGGAAGGATCAAAATTATTCAGGTAGCAAAGTGCTTCATGTTTTGAGGTGGTTAATTGAGGTGAGAAGAAAAAGAGGTAGGACAATCCATTGATGTTACTCATCATTAAAGTCTCACTTGGGGGCCCTCCCCGGTGGCACAAGGGGTTAGGACTCAGCACAGCAAGGTCGCAGCAGCTGCTTCCGTGCGAGTTAGATCCCCACCCCAGAGGTGACCCACATGACGCAGCAGACTTCTCCTGACCCACCCACTGCTCCCCTCAGCAGCTCCCATTTGTCATTCTGCCTGTTCTGCTCCCCACTCTGTTTCTGGTGAATACTTTCACCTCTTGCAACTCTGGCATGTACCCCAGCTCTGTATGGAAAAATAATAAATCTTAAAAAAAAAAAAAAGCCTTCACTTGGGGTCCAGACCCTGGGTACTTCCATAGACTTGCACAGGTGATTTGCCTCTTTATCAGAACCCCAGATAATCCTTTTTGATTGCTGAGTAATATTCCATTACATATATATATATATATATATATATATATATATATATATATATATATATATATACCACAACTTCTTGATCTAGTCATCTATTTTTGGGTATTTGGGGTGATTCCACATCTTCCCTATCTAAAATTACTATAAAGGAAAAAAAATAACAGAAATTTGAAATGGTCAGAAACAGAGGATAGGCTTTTAGAAACGAACTGAACACAAAGTAAGAAAAAGGAGCATATCATGAAGCCAAGCGAAAGCACCATAAATCCAAGAGCTCTCTTGAGCCCCTCCCGGAAAAATGGAGAAGTGGAGACAGGGCACGAGAGCCTCGAGCTGCGGAGTCACCTGGGGGTGCCCCGGCATCTCCACAGGCTCACCAGAAGCTGCCGGGTGCCCCTGGACAGTGCGGGCGATGGCTCATCGCCAGCGGGCTCCAGAATATCCTCCTTCTGGAACAGGCGCTCCTGTGGCCGCTCCGATCGCCGCCAGCCGAGGAGGAGCTGGCGGTCCCTACGCACCCGTAGGGACTACAGCTCTTCCTCACTTTGAATACTCAGGTCTGGTCTCTTCCAGACCAGCCCCTGGGCAGCTGCGGCCGCCCGGCGCCGCACACGCCCGCAGAGACGCAGGCCGCAGTAAAAGCCGCGGGTGCTTCCATCTCCGCAGCACCCGGGTAGGTGGGCGAACAGTGGAGGCGCAGACTCCGGGGCGCACGACCTGCGCAGGCTCGAACCCGTCGGGCTGAGGGCCGCAGCAGCGCGCATGCTCCGGGTTCTCCTGGCAGGCTGTCCCGAGGCTTCAACCCGAGACTGGCCACGCTCTTGGGGCGCGCACGTCGGGACCGGTACCCGGCGGTTAATGACCTCGACTGGTCTGTGAATGGTGCGTCCTACCTTCGTTGCCCACACTTAGTACACTGCCGTCCAGGGAATGTCCCTTTGAAGTCCGGTACCGCGGGTTAAAGCCTCCCTTGCCCCTACCCTGTCAGACAGGCCTCCAGTATTGTGGATTGTTGGAACCCTGCTCTGTGGGGAAAACAGCGTGGAGTGGTGTGTGTGTGTGTGCGTGTGTGTGTGTGGTGGGGAGGGGAGGGAGTTTAGGAGGTGTGTGTGTGTGTGTGTGTGTGTGTGTGTGTGTGTGTGTGGTGGGGAGGGAGTTTAGGATGTGTGTGGGGGGGTGGGGAGGGGTTTCTGGGAATGAGTTTCGGAGGAGGGGGTGGGTATCCTCCTTACTCTGGGACTTGCAGCTCCCTGGCCTCTCGTCATCCTCTTTGGGAATTAGCAGGTGTGGGAACCACTTCACAGCTTTGGAGAGCATGCTTGACTTGCAAAGGGGGTCCTTATTTTCTACTGAACACCTGGCTAGGATTAGTGGAGGGCACATGAGGTCGTGCCCGCTTCCCGTGTCCTCATTACAGTAAGCAGAAAGAGGGACTTGAAAGGTGGGGCAGAATGTAATGAACAAAATGCACAAGGCATGAGTGCTGTGGGAAATCACGAAAGGGCAGTGTCAGAAACAACTTCCTTCGGTTGGGAGTGGGGTTGGGGAGGGGTTTGAATTAGACTTTGAAAAGTGGAAAGTTCTCGATTGGAGGAAGTATGCGTCAAAGGATGGAACAGCAGCGGGGAGTAGACCATTACTGTGTCTAGTAGGTACATACTAAGTTGATACTTTTTAGTGGAAAGAATCTTAAAGAATTCCGTTAAAGAATCACTAAGTCAATATCTTTTTTTTTTTTTTTACTGATTAAGCAGAATTTAAGTAATTTTGACCAGATTATCTTCTGTTTCAAATCTACTTAGTGTTTTTTTTTTTTTTAAGATTTATTTATTTATGCTTACAGAGGTATGGTGGGTGAGAGGATTCACCAGAGGCAGAGTGGGGAGCAGAACAGGCAGATCTACTGAAGTACACGGCTGAGGGGAGCAGTGGGAGGGTCAGGAGAGGTCTGCCCAGCCATATGCGTCATCTCCCTCCCTGGGGATGGAACTCCTGCTGCAGTGGCTTCTGAGAGCTTCACAGTGCGGTGCTTCAACCCGTTGGGCCACCAGGGAGAGCTCTACTCAGTAGTTTTAAGTTATCTTTTGGCTCTCCCGCCTGAATGTTCCATAAGCATCCATTAGAAACTTCTGAAATCTGGACTCCATCCTTAATCCCTTCCTACCTTGAAACTACTAGAATCATCTACCGCTCAGTTACTCAAACCAAAATCTTGGGAGTCCTTGATTTTCCCCTCATTTTTCCTAGACCTCAGCTTACTGCCCAAATCCTGTGAATTTGAACTTAAATGAACCCCTAACCACAATTCCTGCTTTCGTTTTATGATTCAGATTTTTAGCATCTCTTATCAGGACTATAATGGCCTCTTAACTGATTTCCCTGCCTCCAGAGAATAGCTCTATGTATAATCAGACATTTTTTCCTTGTCATAACTTTTATAGTTTGGGTTACACTTCTACATGTCTTAATTGCAGTTACTCCTAGATATTTTGAAAATATTTTTAGTATGTAGGGAAACTTAACTTTGTCATACATTCTCTTTTATTCTACCACTTAAAATCTTTCTATGTCTGAACTTTTTATTGTCTTGGGCTTTTTATGAGTAAAAACCTATCTTCCTACAAACCAATAATTTAGTCATCGCCTTTCCAATAATTATACCTGTTACTTCTTTTACATGTCTCATTGCAAGGTGATCAACTGCTAAATACTAAAGATGAGGATATATCTCTTTGCTTAGCTTTTAAGTTAAAATATTTTAATAGTATAATTTTATCTCAAGTATCATAATAGTTTTTTTCACTAATATATGTGTGTGTGTGTATGTATATTGCTGTTCCATTTTCCTCCCATTTATTTACAATACGGTTTGTGATTAATTGGTATGTTACCTCACTACACTCACCACCAAGGACCCATAGTTGCCTACCTTAGTCCTTTGAACCCACTCCACACGTTGGATAACTCTTCAGACTATTTCTTATTGCAAGTGGGAATGCAAGAACAATCATGAAAAAGACCTCAAAAAAGAAAAGAATATCTTTATTTTTAAAAGTAAGGTTTTAATAGACTTTATAAGAATTTTGACTATGCTAAATCATCCATTTATAAATGTAGGATGATCCTGAAAAATGTGATATATGTTTGGTCCTACATCCAAATCATAGAGTGGATATGTTAAGGAAAGTAATGAGAGAAAGTAGAGATGAACTGTACTCTTATTAAGTTTGTCAGTTATGTAATAAAGAACATTAGAGGTGAGTTAGTTGTATATTCACTTATTACATTACTTAAATACTTCCTTATCTGTTCTCTTTGCCTGTCACCCAGCCATTCTCTGCTGTGCTTTAAGAAAAGTTGCTATCAATGTGTTTCTTAGAGTAATTCCAAATAAATCACTATCCCTGCAATCTAGATAGGAATGAGAAATTATGAAAAAGTATACAGAATTCTGGGAGTGTTGCTGAGATAATTAGGGATTGAAAGGAGACTTCTGTCAATCATTAGCCAGGGTTGGTGTTACATCACACTTTCTAGGATTGCTGTTCTTTGGTCAAAAGTAGAGTTAGGCATTTTTAATTGTCTTAAGGAATATTGAAGGTTTAATAACAGCAGCACATCTTAGTTTGTGTCAGCTTCTTCAGCAGTACGTAAGTGTGGCTCAGCACCATGGCTGCATTGTTGTTTTCTCAGCATGCCTGCAGAGTGGGTTCTTACGGTGATGATGCCTTTACTTTGATCATGGAACCCATTTCTTTGACTTTCAATACAAACCCAGGTTTTTACTGTGATTGGGAAACTAATGTGTATCTGCCTACTCTTTCCACCCCAACTGTACATTAGTTTGGTTGGCATGTATAGTTATTAAAGGAGATTTGTGCGATTCTGTTTCTTAAAATAAAAAGTAAACTCATAATCTATATCATCCAAAAAAAAAAAAAAGGATTTAACATAGCTAATATGGTTTAGTTTTAGAATGAGGTTTAAAAAAGGTAAACAAATTTCATTTTAGCTTATGAGATGTTTCAATAAGAAATACCAGTAGGCAGCCAGATAAAAGTGTATCCAGGAGAGCAGCCAAATATGGAGACAGATTGGTCTGTCTTCAAAGGTTTAGGATGTGCCAGCATTTCGCTGTTAGGGGAAGTATGGTCGCTAAAGGGAGAATACATGGTAAGTAGTGGTAAAAGGGTAGAGGACAAGGACTTAGGAAGTCTGCACAAAATAAAGGTGCCCAACATTATCAGCTATTATAGAGTAATCAGTTCTGTAACAGCTGACAGTGATGTAGTGTTGAGTTTCAATATTTTCATGTCTTATTTGACCTTCCTAAAGGATATATGAAATAGGCATTATATGAACAATAATATGTATCCATTGGATTTTATCATTAAAAGATACTTTTAATTCTATCATTTATATGATACATTGCAGAGAGGAATTTCATAATTTTAAAATCTACTGTGTAAGAAGAGCTCGTATCAATTCAAAAAACAGGCATAGGCTATGAATTGGCATTTAAAACAAAAAGATGCAAGGTAATTCCACCACTTCTCCCCCCTTTTTTTTTCAGATGTCAGAAGAGAGAGATAACACTGCAGTCAAAGAAAATTTAGACAAGCATCTCCAAAAAGGTTCTTAGTAAATATATAACAACACTGATGCTGTTTTTTTATTTCTAAAGGATGTAAATGACTAATCTTGTCTGTGGATTTTATATGGGAATACAGGTTACTTAAGGAACGAGTTCAAGCAAAAGCTAAACTTGATCATGAAAACTGGTCACCAGAAACGTCCAAGTCAACGCATGCAGTGCTTTGTTCTATTGTTGTGTCTCTGTCTCTCTGTAGCCTGGGGAATCTACTAGTGCTTGAGGCTGTGTTAGACCCTAAACATAGAGATATAAAACTTGCTTCAGGAAGCTCCACATGTCAGGGGAAAAGATGCATAAACTATGATTGAGTCCTAACTTAGTCATTCAAGGAGTACTTTTTGAGTACCTAATATATGCCACTTGCCGTTCTAAGTTCTGGGAATATAGACTAACCAACTAATTGTTCTTATACTAAGAACAATTGCAGTGAAGAGTGAAGAGTCTCATGACCTGTAGTGATTTAACTTTGTGGCTTACCCCTTGTTTCCATCATTTTATTTTCTATGCAATTCAAAGATAGGAAGAGAGAAAAAAAATGACCAGTAGGTCCCTCCATTTTCTACTTTAACTAGAATCAAACAGTTCTTGTCTTTCTCAGTCTGTCCAGTAGATCATCCAATAGAGGAATAGAAAATAGTAAGAGTTTTGGAGCACACACCACAGCTTGAGTCTTCTTTACACCCTGTACAGCCATTTCATTTCCTCTCAAAGCTGACAGAAGCAGGGGCTTAGCAGTATTATACTGATCTTATAAAGCTGACATAAGTTAAAATGGATATCTAGAGAGCTCTTTCAGATTTCTTGAATCAAATTGAAGTAACTGGCTTTGATATTGAATATTTGTAAAGTATACTGTATGCTCTACAAATGGAATAGGATTGTCCTCATGGCTCACTTCTTTTTGAGCTTTCTCCCCCTTTAGTCTAACTACAGATATAAAGAAGAATTTGAGCGAATAACTGAGGATGTGGAGAAACAAACTTTAGTCCTGACCATTCATGAGAGTTTTTATTCCAATTGGAAATGATGAAAGGGCATTCATTGGTCTTAGGACCTAGGCTATCACGGTGCAATGGACCAGTCTTTGTAATTGTGGTGATCTTAGAAGTGCATGTGGTTTCGTTATTTAATAGGTACTTTTATTGCTGTTGCTACTTAGTTATGTTGTCAGAAAGTATCATGAACTCTACATTGTCAGCTTCTTGGTTGATTTAGGTGCAGAAGAAAATCAAAGTGTAAAAGAAACTTTGAGGGACAAAGTCAGAGACAAACTAAAAAATGCTAAGGTAATGCTTCTTCCCCCTCCCCCTTTCGTCTTTTTAAGCTTATTGTTTAAATGTAATATAATAAATGTTTCCTGGTCAAAAAGAACCAAAAATTCAGTCTTGAATAAAAATCTTGGAAGTTCTTATTCCTCCCTGTACTTGTCTCATGACAACCCTATAACCTCAAAACAAGAACCAGAAGAATTAAGAGATTTGGTCATGGTCATCTCAGGGGAAAATATGTATGTACTTTATAAATGAAAAACAAGAAGAATTCTTAATTTTATTTTAATTGTAGTCACATATTCATTTATAAACATCCATACGTTCAATAAATCAGTGACTTCAAATGCAGAGACAGTCATTGGCAAGTTCTTGATGATTAATTCTTGTTTCATTGATGTTCTGAAGAATATCAGTCAACCAAAAGAACCAGAAGTCACGATCTCACAAAATAAGCTTTATGTTTATATAGACACAAATTGAAATTTGTATATTAGGAATGCTTTTATCTACTCACAGGAGCCTTGAAAGCACAAAATCTGAGGTAGAAGGTTAAAAATTTCCCAATTGCTTTTAACTTCTTGCTTTACTCTCCCACCACCATCTCTTACATCCCCTTGACCCTTCCTCCCTTCCTTCTCTCTTTTAGCCTGAGAAATAACTTCATTTATTACTTTCCACTAGTTTTTATAAGTATTTTGCTTTGTTGAACCATATACTTGTAAATTTCCCTTTTTTGTCTCTATCATTCTAACTCATTGTACTACATATAATTCCTTTTAATACACATTTTGCTATAAGTGGCAGCATTTAATCTTTCCTCATGGCTGTATAGTACTCCATACTGTGGATCTACCACCTCCTCTTGGTCCAATTTTTTATCAATAGGCATTTTTATTTTTCATTCTGGACAAAAGTTTTATGAGCACAATTATGTAGGTATATATGAAGATTAAGTTTTCAATATCATGTATTTACATTGTGTTTCAGATTAATCAAAGTGAGAAATCTTCAACTAAGGTGTTTAGTGATAAGGTTACTCATAGGTCTAAGGTGAGTAACTTTTTCTATTTTTAAAAACTGCTTTTTTGAGGTATATTATACATAGAAAACATTTATCCAGCTTAAATGTATGTATCAATGACCTTTTAGAGAACTTATAATTATATTACAATCAACACTGTCTTCCAACATTACACTAATTTTTGTCGCTCCCAACAGATCTCCCATGTCAATTTGCAGTCATTCCTGTCCCTATTTAACATTGTTTCTTATCTAAAAATTATAATGTGTAGGTATGTAAGGTGAAAATAAATCTGGAAAACAGTAAATCCCATTTGAGTTTTTTTTTTTTTTAAGATTTATTTATTTATTCATATAGAACTGGGGTACAGGCCAAAAGTTCAGGGGCAGTAAGAGGATTCACCAGAGACAGTAGGGAGCTGAACAGGCTGATTGACGAAGTACAACCCGCTGCACCACCAAGGAGGGCCCCCATTTGAGTTTTTAAAAGATGTTACTGTTCATATTTCAAAAAATATATAGATAGACCCAAAAAGCTAACAGAGGTAAATACTGGGTGGTTTTCATTTTTACGATTTTCAAAGCATTATTTTTCATAGATGTTTTATGATTCCATTGATGTTTATCAAATGAACTTTGTGGTTATCTAAAAATAGTTTAGGCCCTCCCTGGTGTTGCATCGGGTTAAGACACAGCACTGCAAGCTAGCCGCAGCCACTACAATCTGATTCAATCCCCATCCCTGGAGGATTTACCGTAGTTCTGTATGCATAAATAAATAAATAAAGCTTTTTAAAACATTTAAAAAATAAAATAAAAATAGTTTATACCAAAGTAGCAATTGATTTTTTAAAAAAGATTTATTTATTTGTACAGAACTGGGGTACAGGCCAGAGATGCGGAGGGTGAGAGGATTCCCCAGAGACAGAGTGGGGTACAGAACAGGCAGATCAATGAAGTACACTGCTGAGGGGAGCAGCGGGCGAGCCAGCAGAGATCTGCCTCACCACGTGGATCTCCTCCTGGGCAGGCGGGGATCGAACTCATGCAGAAGTGGCTTTAGCTTCTTTGTGCTGTGCTTTAACCTGCTGTGCCACCAGGGAGGGCCCGCAATTGATTTTTTAAATAAGCACGAATAAATTAGTACTGTCAAAATAAATGAAATAAAAATTATAATGAAATATTATTGATGCTCCACAGTGTATAGACTGTTCTAAAACTCAGTGTTTTATAGCACGTTTGAAACTTAAAGAGACAAAACAATTCATGTTTGGGGGGAACTGTAGATTCAAAGTAAATATCCTAAGATGAAAGATGAGTAGTCCAGCTTGCCAGGAGAATCCTGCCCTCTTCAATACATGGTTCCTTTCTCTGAGTTCACAGCAAAGCCTCAGTGTCTATGTTACTGGCTGATAGATTAAAAAAGACCCAGAAGACGGGCCCTCCCTGGTGGCGCAGCGGGTTAAAGCACTGCACTGAAAAGCTAAAGCCACTTCCACATGAGTTCGATTCCCGCCTGCCCCGGAGGTGACCACATGGTGTGGCAGACCTCTCCTGACCCACCCGCTGCTCCCCTCAGCAGTGTGCTTCGTCGATCTGCCTGTTCTGCTCCCCACTCTGTCTCTGGTGAAGCCTCTCACCGCCCCTGAGCCTCTAGCCTGTACCCCGGTTCTGTATGTACAAATAAATAAATCTTTAAAAAAAAAAAAAAAAAAAGAGCCAGAGGGTTGGCGATTGATGTCTTAGAGGATAATAACTTGTGCCAGTTGCACAGGTTAGTTCCACTAAAGGAACATGGGGAAATGTCCAGGTGTCCAGCCTAATAGATGCCCTTATTGGAGATGGGAGAAAAACAACCATGAACAATCAGCATTTATACATTAAACAGTGACAGCACTTTATAACTATTTAAGTACATGGATTCTTTTGTTTTCTTTTTAAACTCATCTCTGTCTCCTACTAGTAAATTTTATTTTAATTAAGGTTAAGAATAAAAGTAGACTTCAAAAAATGTATGAGTAGTAAAAATGGAAAATTTTCAAGATCAGTCCAGTGCATAGCAAGAAAAGAGGTGAAAAAAGAGAAATTGGCTTTAAGGCTTTCCATGCCAACTACTTCCAAAGGAATATCTTTTCAGAAAGTTGAGGATTTTTAGTAGTAGTTTTGCAGTGAATGGGGATAAAGGGCCATAAAAGAATATACGGACTATTTAAATATACAGCATTGCTGCAATGTGAGTAAATTTGAAGGTTAATGTGACAACAAATACAGATAGAAATGGTATGCAAGGCAAGCCTTTTATTTTACACACTGAGAAAGCCTAGTAGTTGTGAGGGTTGTTATTGTAGGGCTGACCCCTTCCCTACGCCTCCTGCTGTGTATGATGAGGAAGTGGTGGCCATCTGCTTTTAAAAGATTCAGATTCACCACATTAAAAAATGTGAGTTTGTTTTTCAATGAGTTTAGAACTGAGAGTATGCTGCTTTTAATTCTCCTAATTCCCTCACTTTATAAAAGTGCATAGGTGAGGTGGGCACTGCTTGTGTGTGAGCACACACTTACATGGGAGTAGATCTGTACATGGGAGTAGACACATGGGAGCACACATTTGCATGGGAGTAGATCTGTACATGGGAGTAGACA